GTTATATTAATTCACCCTATTTGGAAGGAGGTTCCTTGCACAGTCAGTGAGGTAGACTAACAGCAAGAAATCATTCTGATTTCTGGTTTCTTGATCCAATCACTTAATCCAACTCTTGCACAAGTTCTTTGGCAATTTGGACTTCTCCTTGGCCTGGGATATTTGCACAGAGAACTAAATAAATCAGGCTCTAATAAAAGCGGTCAATAGATGGCAATGCTCTAATGAGATGGGAGAGAAGTCATCACACAGCAAGTCTCAGCAATCCCACCCTTGCACTTGATTGCCCTGCAAGGTGGGCAGAGCAGGAGGATTTAATACCCAGGAGAGTTTCCCATCTTCTAGTCCCCATGTTTGATAATATACAACACAAATTTCAGGTTTAACCCATCTCACACCTTAAGCTATTTGGATTCAATGCAGAGAGGCTAAATGCCTCTCTGTATTCTCCTAACAGGTAAATGTCAGTCAACAGCAAGACCTCACTCATCTCCCCTTGAGCATGGCAAAGAGTCCGGCATTTGCCCTTTGTTACATTGGTGTCTACAGCTCTTGAGCATTATCAGCTGCTGCCAACTACCCATTCTCAGTGGAGACAACTCTAGGTCGCTACCTAAGCAGGCAACATTTTAACTGACATCTCATGCTAAGTCAAGCCTTCTGTCTTTCTTTTTCTATCCTTACATAGTGACTTTTCTTGAAGCACTTGTTAATTAGGTCTCTTCATTCAAGGGGCAGAATCATGACAAACAGGAAGGGTTCCCACAAGACCATTTAACTCTAAAGATGTCTCCTGCAAACGTGTGTGAGGATAGTCAGTCTCTGAATACTGAACTTGGTGCTCAGAGCAGATTCAGAATCAGCGACCCCAAATGAGCAGACACTTGGATTAGAGACTTGGATTCATTAGACTACATCAGATCATACAAAGCTCTGATAGCACAGAAGTTAAGTGAGGTGGGTTTACATGGAAAATAATCATTTTACAACATGAGATAACTAGGACTAGGGAAGGATTTTTCATGTTTAAGAAGCTCTATTAAAAATTTCTTTTTGTAGAAGGAATAAGAATAGCTAGTTCACATACTAAGATGTAGAAATCTTAAGGCTTGATTTTCAAGCTTATATTCTATAACTAAAAAAAATAGCATGAGCTATTGTTTTCCAAAGCTGCTACAAAAACCATAATGCCCAATTAACTGTAACTTGCCTGGCAAACTTCTGTATGGGAAGGGAGCACTTCCACCCTGGTTTGCTTTAGATTTCAAATGAAAGACAGCAACTGGGAGCGCAACACTGTCAAAATAGCTGAATCCAATGGCTCCTGAGCTTACTAGTCCCTTGGAGACTCAACAGCAGAAGGATGGAGATGTCAGGGAAGAACAATCAGCTGTAAAATATGAAAAGCTTACAACATCAAAACCTACAGCAGCAGGCTCAAAAGTAATAATCCCATTACCACTAAACTAAAGCACTAATTACTATTCCCAGTGGCTGGAGTGGACTGACTGCTAATGTTCCTCTGGTTAATGAAGGAAGGTGAGGGAGAATATATTTCTTAAGTCAGACATCTGCTGAAATCTGGGCAGCCATAAAAACTATGTATGTAATGAAGCCATTCATATTAATGGCAATAACATTCAGAGGGCTGAGCAGGAAAAGAAATGAGATGATAGTGGATTGTAACTCAGAGAAGAAAAATGCTCTGTATTATCCATTTGATGACTGCCCTTAATTAATCCATACTGAATAACAGAGCCAGTCAAAGCAAGCAACCACATCCCATATAGGCTGTTTCACTAACAGGAGCTAACCTGCTTAAAGACAGGAATAACTTCTCTAAAAACATAAAGCGGGGTATATGCCATTGGAAAAGGAATAAAGAGCATTTTATTTTCACTGACTACAATTACACTAAGAAAAAGACTCCCAAATCCTCTGTCTTGCAAAGAATCCAGATTTCCCCATCATTCTTTGCCTTTTTCATCAACAAGTAGTACATTGTTTAAGGTTCAAAGGTGCTCATTTACCGAGAGAGACAGATTCTGATAAATGAAAGGCACAAAGCAAAAGCATGCTTATTCAGTTAGCTTTACTGTGTTTCTGTCTGCCATGCTCAGAGCTTTAGAGCATTTGTAACTGATAATCATTTCAGATAGAGGGCATGTGGCTTGTGGAACAAGGGGGTTAGACAAAAAAATTAGTTTCCCTCTTGGCATTGAAACAAGATGCACCTTGCTTAGCAAAAAGGTGATACCACAAGGGGAATCAGACCAAAAGATGATCCCTCTGTGTTTTGACCTGTTAGAACAGGGAGCTGTTAGGA